AGAATCACCCAAACAAAGGTGTTCTGCCATTGAGTAGGTATAGGCTCCCTCGTGGAAATCCTAGAAGGATAGCTCATCAGAGGGCAAGGACCCGGGTGCGCTCCCACTTCTTTTCCCTGCGGGTTTGCCGTCCCTGGAATTCCTTAACGGCAGATGTAGCTATGGCACCATCTGTGGACGCCTTTAAGCGAAGGCTGGACAACCATGCAGCGACACAAGGACTTCATCCAAATGGCCTATCCCCTTAAAATCGCATATACCATTCAAAGGTAGACAATTAAACTGGTCGTTTTACTTCTTCACATTCCCTTCAGTCTTACTCTCCTGACAGCTTTAACTACACTTATTATTATTATTATCATTATCATTATTGCTGGTATATATATATGTATACCGGTTGACTGACTGTTGTTACGTTTTCTTATTTTTTTTCTCTGTCCGTTAGTCTGAATACCTTTACTAATTATATCTATTATTATTATTATCTCTTTTCCATTGACGACGATACCGAAGGACTAACTGGTGAAAGGATCAACTCCATTCACAGTAGTAACAGTCTGAACACACCTCACACTACAAACCACATATAATTAATCCCAGCACTACTCCTTCCGGAGTCAACCAAAGCTACGACAGTCGAGTGGCGGGACGAGCTACACAGACGTTTATCAAAGATCAGGAACCTTTACCTCACAATCAAGAGGCGAGCACAAAGAAATCAAATTGGTTTATACTAGCTCGTAAAAACGATATTGGATATTGGAAACATGGTTGAATTTGGACATGCATGCAAAAGACAAAGAAAGGAGAACTCAATATAATGCATGTGAATTCATTAAAACTACACTTAATTTATGATGCTGCACACCAAGGAAAAATGATCCACAGATTACTTTCTAAAAGGTTAGGCATGTTTGTTTTACCGTGTAAAACGTAAGCCTGTCAGATGGGCACTGCTGCTCCTCAAGGCAAACCATCCCCACTGAGGGTAACACTAGGCTCTGCCGAAGATGCCGAAAAAGTTTTATTGACTTCCCAAGTCCTTTCTATAGGGAGGACCTGCAATATACGTGTTAGGCCAGATAGGCCATGGAAGGAAAGACAGATGGCGAGGGAGTCGCCAGAGCTTATTCCTTCTGCCTCCATGGTTGTTCACGGCATTCCTGAACTGGAAACTGGGAACGCTTGTGAGAAGCACTGTCACGATGTCCAGCAATGGAGATGGTTGGCATCCCAGATGGGTCTGGGAAGTTCAGGGGCTGTCTCTATTTTTAGACTGCCTCGACCCACTCACCTAATGTCAATTAACACCCCACATCTGTTAGCTGTTAAGTTTAGCTCCCGAGACCACTTGACTACTGCTCTCCAGAGATGGTACGAGACCAAAGACAAGGTCAGCAGACACATTCGCTGCTGCGAGAGCCGGCCTCGTACCCAAAGGAGAGAGCAAAACGTTGTCATAGAACATCCCCAACCCCTAGTCACAATACAGCGGTGCAGCACGGACGATGATAGCCAGTGCCATCCAAGTGCTCCGATTGAATCAGAAGAAAAAAACTCCAACAGGCCGGTTCCCGGGGAATCGGCCAACTAGTTCGTAGGATAACTCCTCAACCGACAGCCCACATCACGTCAACCACCCCCCAATACGGGGACGTGGTGAGACTGACTACCAGTTGTCTGTACAGTAATGTGAGAGGTCTAAGAGGCAAAATAGCTGAACTTAGATACCTACAATCACAGCTGAACTCCAAAATCATAATACTGACGGAAACCTGGCTAACCCCTACGGTGGCAGACAGCGAAGTCAGTATAAATGATATGGTCCTTGTCAGGCGAGATAGGGATCTGAAAGAAGGAGGTGGAGTCGCCATATACGTCGACAAACAGCTCAGATGTGTCCATGCAATCGACCCTCCCCTCATTGAGCTCCCTGACTCCATATGGTGCCATTTCACCGTTGGGTACTGTAAGTATCTAGTGGGCAGCATTTACAGATCACCTTCATGTGGAGCAGACCACAACCAGGTACTGCTGAATGCAATTTCAGCGACACATGACCTGGGTTATGATCAAATTGTCATAGCTGGAGACTTCAATGCCCCATCTCTTAACTTGATGACGGGATGTGCCCAGGACAGATTTGATCGAAATCTGCTGCATACCATCACGGAGGCCGGATTCACCGAAAATGTCAGAATGGATACTAGATGGGGCCCAGATGGGAAGTCTTCTAGACTGGATTACGTGCTCACTAGTGACCAGCTACTAGTGGAAAACGTTCAGATCACGACTCCCATAGGTAGTAGTGACCATGCGGTCATAACATTCGACATAGTCCTCCGCGAGCGTTTACAGTGGGACAATACACAGCCCTATCTGTTATAACAAAGCCAATTACACCGAAATGCGAAGACTTTTGTCTGAAGCAAATTGGCCAAAAAATTGGACAGAGCTTACAGTAGAAGAACACTGGAGAGTGGTAAAGGAGATCATTCACCAGGCGATCTCAGACACTGTTCCTTTGGTCACACCTAAAGCTAGAAAGCAACGTTCATGGCTAAAAAGGGGGACACAACGCCTTCTACAGGCGAAGCGAAAAGCCTGGTTTGCGTGGCGAGTATCGCAGAGTCAACCCGAACATGAAGAGTACCTCGAACTCAGGAATCGGTGTAACATACGAGTCCGGAGTGATAGAAGGACATTTCAGAGAAACCTCGCCAATAAGCTTCTCGTGAACCCCAAAAGCCTATACAGGTTTATGTCTGAAAGAAAACCGACCAACCAGGGAGCTTGCAATATAGTGGGTTCTGATGGGAAATCTCTTACTAGTCTTGAAATGGCAGAGACATTCAGTCTAGCCTTTCACAGGCAACTGAACAGTAACGAGGATTTTACCCTCACAAAACATCAAGATTACAATGCAAGACCAACGTGCGAAAACCTGCTGGGTACATTTCAAATTACCCCGGCTATGGTACTCATAAAATTGGGAAAGTTGGCTTCGGGAAAGTCTGCAGGTTGCGACGACATAAGACCATCCGTCCTGAAGCAGTGTTCAGAAAGTCTCTGCCAACCCCTAAGTGATCTGTTTCAACACTCCTTTGATGTAGGGAAACTTCCATGTGAATGGAAACGAGCCATCCTATCCCCTATCTTCAAGGGTGGTGACCGGCAGAATGCGACCAGTTACAGACCAGTTGCGCTACTCCCAGTGATATCGAAGATATTCGAAAGTCTCATTGACGACCACATGAGAAAATACTTCGACGGGACTAACCTACTCCATGAAGCACAGCATGGTTTCAGGAAGGGAAGATCCTGTGTGACGAATCTTCTACTAGCTTGGAACGATTGGACACTATCCTGGGATGTAAAGGTACCAGTCCATGTGATCTTTCTCGACTTTGCGAAAGCATTCGACACAGTTCACCATGGTCTGCTCCTTCACAAAATAAGCAAAGCGGGTGTTTCTGGAGCACTTCTCGCATGGCTGGAAGATTATTTAGGCGAGAGAGAATTCTGCACCAAAGTCAACCGCATCCGATCATCCTGGCACACCTCGGCATCAGGGGTTCCTCAGGGTTCTATCTTAGGGCCGTTGATGTTTTTGATTTTTATCAATGACCTGCCCTGTCAACTGAATTGCCCTGCGCTTCTTTACGCTGACGACGTAAAGATTTGGAGAGCAATAAACTCATCGGAAGACTCCGACAGATTGCAGGCTGACCTGCAAACGCTGGGGGACTGGGCTCTGGCTAACGGAATGCCTTTCAACTTAAAGAAGTGCAAAGTAGTGCAACTTCATTCCGGCAGGTCACAGAGTGCAAATTACACCCTTGGTGGCCAGAACTTGAGTTGTGTGCCATCAGAACGCGATCTAGGCCTTATTTTAACAGAAAAGCTAGACACCAGTGTAAATTACACGAGGGACGTCGCCAAAGCTTACGGCACTTTACACTTTATGCATAGGCAACTGGGAGCTCTTACTCCTGAACTATTCCTAACGTTGTATACGACATACGTGAGGCCACTCCTTGAGGTGCATAATATCATTGCTCCTCCGCTACTCAAAAGGGATGCTAACATGCTAGAAAGTGTCCAGAGACGAGCGACAAAATGGGTGATCGGCCTCCGCAACAAATCATATGAGGAGAGACTGAAGAAATTAAGTCTTTTCACACTTAGTTACCGTAGTCACAGGGGAGACCTCATCACCGTCTATAAGATCCTAAATGACCAGGCCCATCCTAACAAGAGCATCCTGCCATTAAGTGATTATAGGCTTCCACGAGGTAACCCGCTAAGGATAGCACACCAGAGACCAAGGACTCGAGTGCGTTCACATTTCTTCCCGCTTCGAGTTTGCCGTCTCTGGAACGCTTTACCGGCGGCCGTAACTACAGCTCCATCTGTGGAGATTTTTAAGCGGAAGCTGGACAATCATGCAGAAATGCATGGTTTGTGTCTCAATGGCTTACCCTCTTAAAATTTGAAACCACATTGTCAATGGATAAGCATACAAGCTAAATCTTCACGACCCGTCCTGTCTTCTCCCACTGTACCGACTACTCTATCTTTCTTTCTTTATTATTTCACTTATCTCAACCTATATTATCTACACTACAACCTATTATTATCATTATTATTATTATTACTCTACTTTTATGACTATACCGAATGACCGACGGGTGTTAGGTCAAACTCCATTCACGGCAGCAGCTGAGTCCTAACATACTGCACACTACAAACCACAATCTTGACCAATCCTCGCATCACTCCTCCTGGAGTCTACCAGAGCTAAAGCAGTCGAGTGGCGGGATTTACTACGCATAAGTTCACCGAAGATCTGGAACCTCTACCTTAAAATCAAGAAGCGAGCTCAAAGAAATCACTGGTTTATACTAGCTCGTAATCAGGATATTGGATATTGGATGGATATTGGATATAGGATAGCAATAGACTTAAACATTGATTCGGACCGCGTCATTCATTGTCCGCGCTAACGCCAGGGGGTAAGTTATGAGTAGGCGTCTTTACTGATATATGAAGCCCATGGCTTATAAGTGAAAGCATCATTAGTATTGCTGTTAAAAATTTCAAGTTGTGGCAACGACTGGACAACACTTTGTGGGAATCTAAATTTCACAGTTTGTGCATCCACTGTTTGATCACCTTTCTGCGATGCTCAAACAGTAACAGAAATGGAGGTGTAATATTAGAGCTAAGTGTTTTGATAATTTAAGGTAGGGGTAATTCTGAAATCAACTGTTGGTCGTATGGGGTAACCTGATTTATATATTTGTATAGTACCGTATATTCTACCAGCATTATTAGTTTTAGGCGCTATGTTTAGACTTACCCAGCGACAGCTTCATTCTGTGTAGATTTCATAATCCTATTTATTATTGTATCTAAAGGCATCCTAATTTGCTCATATAAACCCTTTGCAATGTATTCAGTGACTTTTTTTGATAAATATTCAGATTTAGAATGACAAGTGGAACAAGTGAAATAATACCGGGGACAATTAAAGGTGAGAGTAGTAATAGTAACAATTGACGTAATAAGGAAGAGTATACAAATTGAATAAACAAAAATCAAAAAATGAAAAATTGGTAGAGCTAAAATATGATTGGGGATCACCATACTTTAGCATAGAGGGATTAAGACCATGAAAGTTGGAGAGGTTGAACGAACTTTTTCTGTACACAGAGATCTGGCTTTTCTGTTTCGATAGCCAAAGCTTCAGCAATACAGATGAGTCAGGCACGTAGGGATTTGGGTAAATTACTCTTTGCCTTGTAGATGACTTTGAAGGCGGAGGCTATAGAGATAGGGTGATCATTATCGACCAGATGTTCAATGATCGCGTTTCTTATTGCTCCACTTCCACCTTTTCGTAACCATGCGGGATAGTGTTCTTGCACCCTCTTGGTCAAAACTCGTGTCGAACGACCGATATACCTAGCTCCACACGAGCAGGTGAATTGATAAACACACATAGAGTTGGTCAACAGCGGGATCTTGTCCTTCAGGTTATTGAACAATAATGGTCGACTAGTAAAGGCTATTCTCAGAGATGCACCAGGGAATGTTCTTTTCAGGGACTGCAATATCCTTCGTTTCATGATATCGGAAGCCAAGTCCCCTTTGAATTCCAAGCTCATGTAAAGTATTTTCTTGGGTACGGTTGATGAGTCACTTTTTTAGGATTTGAATGTATATTCTTATCTATAAAACATGGTGGAAATCCATTTTCTATTAGGATTTTCCTCAAGATGTATAACTCATCTTCCACAGTATCAGGGCTACATATGCGCCGAATACGAGTGGCAAGTGACCGGATCAGGTTTCGTTTTCGACCAATGGGTACCCAGCTGTAGAAATTTGTCAGTTGACCATTCCATGACAGCTTACGATAAATCGATCTCTTCAGAGTTCCACTCGTCCTCTTTGATAAGTTCACATCAAGGAAATAAATGCTAGACTCATTCTCCATTTCGAGTGTGAATTTTATCGCCGGATGGCAACCATTAAATACATCTAATATATTATTCAAGTTACAGTCACTATTACAAATAATAAAGGTGTCATCTACATACCTTTTATACATTTGAAAGCTTTGGATTATAGGCTTCAGCTGACCATTTTCTAGACTGGACATAAAACAGTCTGCAAGGAGAGGACCCAAGGGAGAACCCATTGCAATACCATCCTTCTGTCTGTAGATTGCTTCATTGAAAATAAACTGTACATTCAATGTACATCTCAGAAGTAGTTCTCTCATATCTGTAGTGGGTATCCCTATATTCAATTTGTTGTCTTCAATATATTTGCATATTTGTTTCTGTCAGTGGAACGTTCGTAAATAGGGATTCTTCATCCAAAGACAACATATGTTTATTCGACGCATTTATATCCTGTATACATTCAACAAATTGAAAGGTGTCCCGAAGGGAATGATTAGATAGCTGTCACCTGACAGGTTCGAGGATTTCAGCTAGCCATCCAGCTACTGGATGATAGGGCGATCCAGACATATCCAAGATAGGGCGGAGTGGAAGGCCAGCTTTGTGTATTTTCGGTAGACCGTAAAGTCTTGGTATTAGAGATCCTGTTGGTCTGATGTTTTCGTATAATTCTTCACGAATGAGATGATTGTTCTTCATTCTTATTGAAGCTTCTGTAAGTTATTTCTCAATTAATTCCGTCTTATTTTTCTCGTTCGGTTTCGAGAATTTACTGCTGTCTGAAAGTAGACATGACATTTTTTCGATATAATCTTTACGATCCATAATAACAACACCTACACCCTTGTCATGGCGTGTTAATAATATATCGTTGCTATGCGTCAAAAGTTTAAGTTCTTCTTTGTGCTCTTTGGTCAGAAGACTTTGCATTTTTGATCTAGCATTAAGGTATTGATTGCAAGAGTCAGTGATGGTAGATTTGAAACATTGGAAATCCTGGTCTGACGATGGTGTGAGATCATAAGTTCGACTGAGTAGATTCTCAAACTGGACATGTGTATTTAGCTTGTTGACATTGAGATTAACATCGCAAAACTTCGAACCCATTGACAAGGCTTCCATTTGCAATTTTGATAGGGATATAGAGGAGTGATCGAACACGTATCTCTCATAATTCTCAGGAAATTTTCGAAGACATTCGATAGATTTTAGGCTATTGGATAGCTTAGAATTAAAAGACAGTGTTTGTTTGTTGGTGACCACGTTGATATATTCATTAAACGTCTGACGTTCATCAATGGATAAGTCATATAGAGCAGAAGATCTTTGCGATATATTCCTTTTTAACTCAGGGATACGTGAACTAATAGAGTCAATGTGATTTAATGTGTGTCTCTTGAGAGATTTTGCATTAGGATATATGTGATTGCAATACCATTTCGGATACTCATGATTATTGATGCATTCATTAATAAAACAAATCTCCGCATTCGCACAGGCAATTTTGACAGAGTAACGCACAAACCCATTGAGTTCCTTTACTGTCGAGGGATCTTTGCTATTTTTTAAATCATGAAAAATTCCCATTGTAACATATGTTTCTGCGTTACTCTGTCAAAATTGCCTGTGCGAATGCGGAGATTTGTTTTATTAATGAATGCATCAATAATCATGAGTATCCGAAATGGTATTGCAATCACATATATCCTAATGCAAAATCTCTCAAGAGACACACATTAAATCACATTGACTCTATTAGTTCACGTATCCCTGAGTTAAAAAGGAATATATCGCAAAGATCTTCTGCTCTATATGACTTATCCATTGATGAACGTCAGACGTTTAATGAATATATCAACGTGGTCACCAACAAACAAACACTGTCTTTTAATTCTAAGCTATCCAATAGCCTAAAATCTATCGAATGTCTTCGAAAATTTCCTGAGAATTATGAGAGATACGTGTTCGATCACTCCTCTATATCCCTATCAAAATTGCAAATGGAAGCCTTGTCAATGGGTTCGAAGTTTTGCGATGTTAATCTCAATGTCAACAAGCTAAATACACATGTCCAGTTTGAGAATCTACTCAGTCGAACTTATGATCTCACACCATCGTCAGACCAGGATTTCCAATGTTTCAAATCTACCATCACTGACTCTTGCAATCAATACCTTAATGCTAGATCAAAAATGCAAAGTCTTCTGACCAAAGAGCACAAAGAAGAACTTAAACTTTTGACGCATAGCAACGATATATTATTAACACGCCATGACAAGGGTGTAGGTGTTGTTATTATGGATCGTAAAGATTATATCGAAAAAATGTCATGTCTACTTTCAGACAGCAGTAAATTCTCGAAACCGAACGAGAAAAATAAGACGGAATTAATTGAGAAATAACTTACAGAAGCTTCAATAAGAATGAAGAACAATCATCTCATTCGTGAAGAATTATACGAAGACATCAGACCAACAGGATCTCTAATACCAAGACTTTACGGTCTACCGAAAATACACAAAGCTGGCCTTCCACTCCGCCCTATCTTGGATATGTCTGGATCGCCCTATCATCCAGTAGCTGGATGGCTAGCTGAAATCCTCGAACCTGTCAGGTGACAGCTATCTAATCATTCCCTTCGGGACACCTTTCAATTTGTTGAATGTATACAGGATATAAATGCGTCGAATAAACATATGTTGTCTTTGGATGAAGAATCCCTATTTACGAACGTTCCACTGACAGAAACAAATATGCAAATATATTGAAGACAACAAATTGAATATAGGGATACTCACTACAGATATGAGAGAACTACTTCTGAGATGTACATTGAATGTACAGTTTATTTTCAATGAAGCAATCTACAGACAGAAGGATGGTATTGCAATGGGTTCTCCCTTGGGTCCTCTCCTTGCAGACTGTTTTATGTCCAGTCTAGAAAATGGTCAGCTGAAGCCTATAATCCAAAGCTTTCAAATGTATAAAAGGTATGTAGATGACACCTTTATTATTTGTAATAGTGACTGTAACTTGAATAATATATTAGATGTATTTAATGGTTGCCATCCGGCGATAAAATTCACACTCGAAATGGAGAATGAGTCTAGCATTTATTTCCTTGATGTGAACTTATCAAAGAGGACGAGTGGAACTCTGAAGAGATCGATTTATCGTAAGTTGTCATGGAATGGTCAACTGACAAATTTCTACAGCTGGGTACCCATTGGTCGAAAACGAAACCTGATCCGGTCACTTGCCACTCGTATTCGGCGCATATGTAGCCCTGATACTGTGGAAGATGAGTTATACATCTTGAGGAAAATCCTAATAGAAAATGGATTTCCACCATGTTTTATAGATAAGAATATACATTCAAATCCTAAAAAACGTGACTCATCAACCGTACCCAAGAAAATACTTTACATGAGCTTGGAATTCAAAGGGGACTTGGCTTCCGATATCATGAAACGAAGGATATTGCAGTCCCTGAAAAGAACATTCCCTGGTGCATCTCTGAGAATAGCCTTTACTAGTCGACCATTATTGTTCAATAACCTGAAGGACAAGATCCCGCTGTTGACCAACTCTATGTGTGTTTATCAATTCACCTGCTCGTGTGGAGCTAGGTATATCGGTCGTTCGACACGAGTTTTGACCAAGAGGGTGCAAGAACACTATCCCGCATGGTTACGAAAAGGTGGAAGTGGAGCAATAAGAAACGCGATCATTGAACATCTGGTCGATAATGATCACCCTATCTCTATAGCCTCCGCCTTCAAAGTCATCTACAAGGCAAAGAGTAATTTACCCAAATCCCTACGTGCCTGACTCATCTGTATTGCTGAAGCTTTGGCTATCGAAACAGAAAAGCCAGATCTCTGTGTACAGAAAAAGTTCGTTCAACCTCTCCAACTTTCATGGTCTTAATCCCTCTATGCTAAAGTATGGTAATCCCCAATCATATTTTAGCTCTACCAATTTTTCATTTTTTGATTTTTGTTTATTCAATTTGTATACTCTTCCTTATTACGTCAATTGTTACTATTACTACTCTCACCTTTAATTGTCCCCGGTATTATTTCACTTGTTCCACTTGTCATTCTGAATTGATTCCTGTTTAGAACATTCATTTCTAAGATATTCATATTTATCTCTTACAACTATCGAGTTTCTTTTATCAGAGACTTTTTCAAAATAAATTGTCTGCATACGGAAATTATGCCTTACCTCATTTCTTATGTTCTATTCATATATCAGCGATGCACTTTCATATAGTCTGGATTCATTTCTACAGGACAGTAAACAAGTTTAGATGTATCTTTCAAAGCGAATTTATTGCGTACAGGGCTTAAAATATCAGCTAACCATTTTGCCAATTTGTGTGTGGGAGAATTATACATTGATAGAATTGGACGTAGTGGACTGTCAACTTTATGAATCTTGGGTAATCCATAAGGGTTTTGAAAGTCAGATCCCATGGGTTTCAATGAATTAAACTCTTGTTTGTCAGTGACATCCATGCCACGGAGTTTTAATAAATGGGATATTACTTTCCCTTTCAAATTTCTGATATGATAAGAAGGGACGTCGGCTATGAATTCACTTTTATCATTAAGAATGGACAACATTTTTATTTTATAATCGCATTTGTCCATTGCAACTGCAACTAATCCTTTGTCACGTTTCAGGATATTTATGTCGGATGTGCTACATAATTCCTTTAGGGCTTCTAAATGGGTCAAGGTCAAGATGCCTTCTTGTTTCCGACTTGAATTATGAAATTGATTTGCTACACCTACCGATTTAGTTTTCAACCACCTTTGGTCCTCTGTAGAGATAGAAACTAGAGGACTTAATTGGTCATACAGATTGTCAAACTTAGAATCCATTGCTAAGTTTGAGATATTGTTTAATGGGATAGAAAAATTAAAACCAAGTGACAGTACCTCCTTCTCACGCACTGAAAGTTCAACTGATGACAAATTTGTCACATGCTTATCTGAATTTACTGGGAATAATTTTGATTGGTAGTCAACAGTTAGAAAAACAAATGAACTGTGGCAAATGGATAGATAGAAGTGGTAAACCACCAACTTCGTCTTTAGCGAAACACCTAATCGATATGAATCACAAGACTGGTGCCAAAACTGCCAGTTACCGTCCACCAAATTACATCAAGTTAGTCCTCAGAGATTGTTGAAGCGTCCTCAATAGGAGCTGACATGTCAACAGAGGTCGAACATTTCGATCCAGTTAATCAACAGAAAAATCAAAATCACACTAATAACTAGTGTGATGTGTCTAGTCCTTTCTTTGGTGCAGACTGAATTCTATCAGCCAGTCCTATAGGAGGTCAATTGCGAATAGCTCAGTGGTAACGTCTCCATCTGCGGCACTGGGCGACACGGGTTCGAATCTCAGAAGGGACATGAGTTCCTTCAAGGTTGCAGATACACCTTGCTGACTGGTGAGTGTCAACTAGAACGAAACCTAGGTCGAGCAAGGCTTCCTGTGGCCGATTGCCTCCAACTATCTAATATCATCAAATTAACTCATCTCAATTATGCTGCTGATTCTTCTTATCTCAGGTGTTGGTTTTCAAATTCCTTGCAAGAGACTGTTTCCATAACCTTTTTTTTCTAATGATGATCACAAATGTGAGCGAAAATACCACTTATGCAGATTTTTATTTCAAGTATGTCCATTTAGATATATTTTCAAACAAATATTTTTATCTAGCCATCTTCTAAATAATCAATTATGCATATTTGATTCTTGGCTTACTAAAGACTGGTTAGCATGTTCTTCATGGCGTAACTGTGATCATGATGCTGCGGATGATGAGGATGACGGACGCATTGATTTAGATAATTTATTTAAATATATTTCAGGTAGATTATATTCAATGTGATATTCCTGCTTTTTACAGATAAAAAGTTATGTGTAGCTGATTGTTCTGTAATTGAATTCGATACACATCCTACACATGAAATCAGTGTTAATGATTTCTGCGTGTATTGGAGAAATAAAATTCAAGGCAACGATGATCGTATTCTTTACTTAAAAGATTGGCATTACTTTCAGTGTAATACAGACAATAATCATTGGTTCATCTTGCCTAAATACTTTTCATCGGATTGGTTAAATGAATTTTGGGAATTTCGAAATGATGTTACAGATGACTTCAAATTTGTATACTTAGGCGTCAAAGGGACATGGACACCATTACATGCTGATGTATATCGTTCATACAGTTGGTCTGCAAATATAGTCGGTCACAAACGTTGGTGGTTCTTCCCTCCTGGTTAGTGTTTTTAGAATTCATAGTATTTGAGCATGTTTGTGCTATTTAAAATTTGATTTATTTCTTTAAATCAATAATTATCCCTATTTATAAAATTAAATTTATATCAAGACATATAAACAAACTATTTTTTTTCAATTGGATCTTCAAGCTTCACTCTAGTAAGGAAATTTAGCTAATAAAGTTGAGTTCGTAGATCAGAGGAGGAGAAAATTTACTAGAGAATAGGATAAAGTTCCTTAAAGAGGGTGACTGAAGAATTTATTCTGTTGACTGAATGATTAGTCTCCTTTGAGTTGATGTCTTGTCAATGACGCTGACAAAATGCAGAGTCTTCTAAACACCTTGAGCAGCAATCTGCGAATGTTTGGCATGCGATTCACTCCTGTTGTCAAATGTAAGATGATGCTACAGAACTGGACTGGACTACATTGACTCGTAACTAAAAGGTAGGCAGTGAAGTGGTTGAGTGGGGCTTGTTGACCACTTTACTTATTTGGGGAGTTGCATGAGCCATTGCCAGTGGGTTGATCGCTGACGAAATCCCAGCACGGATATAGAAGGCTCGTTTGGCATATGCCAACTTACTCCATCTCTGTCTAGCAAAGGGGCGGGTGTACTGCTCAGCAGTCCGCTCCGTTCTCCTTTATGGCTGTGAGACCTGCCGATTAAGTGTGGAAGACATGTAAAGATTATCTGTCTTCCATCATAGGTGCCTGCGTTCTATCTCCCGTGTTAGGTGGTGGTATAATAAGTTGAGCAATATTGAGATTAGGCGCCGAGTGCTAGGTAGGTGGGGGGGGGAATCAATAGACGAGGTTGTGAAGTTACATCCATTGCCTTCCTCGACGGGCAATTGTAACTGGCAGGTTGGAAAGGAGCCAATGGTGGTCAAATCAAAACATGGCTTGATCAGTCAATAAAATCCATAACAGTTAGTTTGAGCCAGCCACGTAGGAAGGTGTAGACTTCCTGACTGGTTGGGGTCCTCGGGACTGTAAAAAGCAATGGTCGGAAACAATTGGTGATATGGCTCAAAATCGTTTCCAATAGCTGGCGCAGATGCATCCACTTCTTGTGACTTATAATACCCAATAAACTTATATTGTTCTTCGATATTACTATTCTTTTTGGCTCATATCTGTGTTTACTGTTTCTATTTTGCATTTCCTTTTATTCTCTTCTCTTTCTGTGTTTGCTGAGTGAAGTGTGGCGACTCGAATTACTGTACATCGGTGCAGAGTTCTACATTGAAACCAGTCAGTCAATGGGTGGGTTTCATCAACTGTTTTCAGGATATCTCTTAGCCTGCAACATTGAATGTTGTATGCACTCCAGCTCATAAATTAGTGTATCGTTCGTAAGAATTTTACGTGCTCCGAAAAAAAAATTTCACTAGGCGTAGAGTTCGTCTTATATGTCTGAGAAATATTAGTCGTTTGGTTGTTCTATCATCTTGCCTCATCACTAAAATATTCAGGAAACCAAATCTGTTGCATAATTCGAATTTTGATGTTAGTCCAATATTTGGGGGAGGGAATATGTAATAATGATATGCATTCTGTATTATATGTACAGAAAACAATATTTTTCATCCTCTACCAGTTCATCCAAGCAGCTAGCCAGAATTCTGGTTGTTTGAGGTGACTCTGCGTCGGTGGCACAATGGTTAGGACTCTCGCTGACCATGCACATGGTCCGGGGTTCGATCCCCTGCCGACGCACACCTGATATCTATGGTCGGCCTGCAAAATTTTGGCTACGGATATCACATGCTGAAAATTCCATACCTGTACCAAGAAATACGGTGTGGAATCAAACTGTAATAAAAAAAACCGGATACGCCGCTGTTGAGCTCGGTCTTGAACGAGTGAAACGGCCCTCCGATGTTTAGATCACTTTTATCTGACTAGCATGTACTACTGGTTGATTTGAGTGGTATCCAGCTACTTATACCAGTCAATCAGTAGTATCTGGCATCATGCATTTATGTTTGGTTTCTTGATTATCATTTATGGGTATCAGGTAGAACACATATTGTGTTCATTTTTATCCTGTATAATTAATTGATTTATCAAAAGTTCTTTCGTTGTCATTCATGTAAAGCACTTGTAGTGGGAATGCTTTATTTGTTGTTGTATTTCAGGAGAAGAAAAGAAACTTCTATTACCAAATGGAAAGTTACCTCATGATATACGTTCCATTAAAATAAATAACGATGTGAAATATCACATTATTGATCAGTATTCTGGGCAAGTAGTTTTTGTCCCATCTGGATGGTATCATCAGGTTGTAAATATGGTAAGTGTGTCAACGACATCTCTCTGCAAAATACTCATATTTTCATTCAAGATAAAAGTTTACTACTGATTTTGTGTTTAAAAAAAAATAAAATACAAATCATAAACAGAAAATTGTTTAATTATTTATTTTGTTTTGATTACAGCTTGACTCCACACTGTATTTTCAGTACAGGTATGGAATTTTCAGCATGGATATCGGTAGCCCAAATTTTGCAGGCTGACCATAGATATCGGGTGTGCGTCGGCAGGGGATCGAACCCCGGACCATGTGCTTGGTCGGCAAGAGTCCTAACCACTGTGCTACCGACGCACATTTCCTAGTTGTGGTGGGTTGAATCATACTACAAACTGTGGGGGGTTGGTGGTGAGACAAATATACGTTAAATTGACGAAAAGACGTTAATATAAGTGTATGACTTAGGCACTGTGTTAGAATGTAACTCCATATTAGATAAGTTTATTGCAAATATGGATGGTGTTTTGAGCAGAAATTATTGCTTCTGATAATCATATCAATTTAGTCACATGGTTTCACAACTTGTCTTATATATATATATATATTCTCTCTTTCTTTCTCTCCAACTTCCCTTTATTGTTCGTTACCACTTTCTTCATTATAGGCGTTGCGTCATTCCACTTGCGTTTGTGTGGTGTTGAACCGATCAACGAAGCTTCAGCGATTAACCTTTCTCCTCACCTAAGTATATTACCGAAAATACCCATTGAGTCATGAAGAAAATAAAAGACAAATTCAGCGAATGGGAAGTCGTGACCAGTAGGGTGCAGCAGGTCAGGTGTGAGGAAAAATACTCGCCGAAGACATTGGCTAGTGGTCGCGCTATGTCGTGAATTGACAGAAGTTAGAATTCATGGGCCAGTCATTGGATCGGGTCCCAGTGGCCCAATGCTCTACCAGCTCGCCTTGTAACCAGAAGGTCCTGGGTTCGAACCCCGCAGTGTGGGTACGTACTGATGAGGAGTCCCAAACTAGGATGAAACAGCTGTCCAGTACTCCCAGGTTTTCCAACGGTTCTCTAACCAATATCAGCTCATGATGAAACCCTGTAACCAATCAACCAAATCCCTACAAACCAGTACTTGAGAATAAAATTTTCTTTATTGACGAAATCATCATCAGAGGCTGTACAATCGTATTTATATTTGCTAAAAATGTATATTAGTCCATTATTGAGTAGTAGGGGGGTGTGCGTGACATAACTGATGTAATTACTCACAAGTGGCTTCAAAAGTAAAATTAAAAATTACGTAAAACTCAACACACAGAGGAAGAAAGGGTCAAAAATTTGATTAGGTTAAAATTGTTAATGAGTGAGAAGAAGGGTAGTTGAGTGTCCATTTAAAAAGTGTGCAGAGAGTGAGAAAATTTACAAAAGGAACATGTGAGAGTGATAATACTGAATTAATTATTAAGGGAAAAGTAATCATTAAAAATAAAAAATTAGACATTTACAGTGAACTACTAATGGAGAGATCAAGATCATGGAAGAATAAGAGGCTGGACAAACTTCTGTATACAGAGTTCGGGGTTGTATTGCCGAATTGTCAGCGCTTCCGTCATACACAAATGCGAAAACCTAATGCCCTTTGTACTATTAGGCCTCACCATGTAGATAGTCTTGAAAGACGACTCTGGTGGAACTGTGTGGCTTGAGTTCACCAAGTGTTCGAGAATTGAGTTAGTAGCTATCTTGTGTTATTCTCTTACTAATCATGCTGGATAATGTTCAGAGATGCGTTTGGAAAGGCCTGCGCTTTTTGCGGCCAATATAACTAGCTAACTACATTACTTTTTAACACTCTCACCCTGTCCCACCTTATTTTGTGAGTACATGCAATAAAATGGTTGAGTTTTTTTAATCTCCAAATTGCTTAACTTAGTAGGGTCAGTTATGGCGACTTAATGCCTATACCGAAGATATAGAAAGTGTCTACAATCAACAAGGGGAAGATGGCGAGAGAGAGAAAGAGAAAAAAATATATAAGGCAAATTGTGAAGCCATGTGACTAAATTGATGTGATTATGAGCAGCAATAATTTATACTCGAAACCTTGTCATCCAGTTGTTAATACTGCATCACTCTGTAATATTTAAAATAGACATATCTGATACGGAATGACGTAAAGGCAGTGTAATCTCTTTACTTGGCGGACGACTTATATAATAGAGAAGATTTGTAGCTCAGGTGGATGATTTGCAATTAATAGTGTGACGAAAGCTTCGCAACTAAACCAACCAGCTCAAAGAACACTATTAATTGGACGACTTATATCTCATTTCACAACAAACTAATGATCTACACTCAGAAAGCAGCAAGTTGACAGAAGAAGCAGTAAAGGCAGGATTTCAAGTGAATATAGTGAATATAGTAGTGATGAAGATACTCATGTCAACCAGCAACTGTAAGTTCAAATCACCATTAACATGGTAAGTCATATCTTTCATTTGGTTACCTGGACCGTATCCTTTCAACTACAAATGGTGACATGGATGAGGATGTCAAAGACAGGATCAAGAAGGCAAGACAGACCTTCGTTACTCTGAAATCAGTGTGGAGATCCGCTTCTCTCAGTATAAGGCACAAGGTTCGGATTTTCAACACTGATGTGAAATCAGTGCTTCTATATGGTTTAGAGACTTAGTTTACGTGTGTAGTGGGATGCATTACCAGCAGATGGCTGCAGATTTTCATCAGCAACTACCTTCTCTGACTCGATGCCGAAGATCAAATGGCCTGATAGACAAAATAAGCAACAACGAGTTCTGGCAGTGAACCAAACAAGAATCTGTAACCCAACAAATATGCAGAAAGAAGTGAAGATGGATTGCACATACTTTGGTGAGACGGCTGAGAGAAATCACGTGGTAGGCTAACCGTCGGGTGGAACCTAAGTGATAAGTTCGGTGCGGGTTTGAGGGTGATGTGGAGGACATCCTGTTAGTAAGAAATGAAAGCCTATAGGCAATTGTGAGGTGATTTTCCAATATTGGTTTGTAGGGATTTGATTGATTGGTTACAGGATTTCATCATGAGCTGACATTAGTTAGAGAACCATTAGAAAACCTGGGAGTACTGAACAGATGTTTCCTCCGTCCTAGTTTGGGACTCCTCATCAGTACGCACCCACCGGGGTTTGAACCCAGAACCTTTTGGTTACAAGGCGAGCTGGTAGACCATTGGGCCACTGGGACCCGATCCAATGGCTGGCTCATGACTTCTAACTTCTGCCAATTCACGACATGGTGCGACCGCTAGCCAATGTTGATATAAGTATAAAACTTGGGCACTGTGGTAGAGCATAACTCCATTATAGATAAGATTTTATTTTGATAAATCACAGTGTTATAGAGTAATATTAACTGATAGCCAATGTCTTGGGCGAGTATTTGCCCTCACGCCTACAAACCAATACTTGAATATCGATGAGATGCTCATTGGGAACTGGCCCTATTCAGGTAGGTAGTTGCCTGGGTTCTAGTGGGAAGTCGTGACCAGTAGGGTGCAGCAGGTCAGGTGTGAGGACAAGTACTTGCCGAAGACATTGGCTAGTGGTCGCCCTATGTTGCGAATTGGCAGAAGTTAGAATTCATGGGCCGGTCATTGGATCGGGTCCCAGTGGCCCAATGGTCTACCAGCTCGCCTTGTAACCAGAAGGTCCTGGGTTCGAACCCCGCTGTGTGGGGGTGAGTACTGATGAGGAGTCCCAAACTAGGATGAAACATCTGTCCAGTAATCCTTGCAGGTTTCTCAATGGTTCTCTAACCAATGTCAGCTCATAATGAAATCCTGTAACCCATTATAGTGATTGTTCTCCAATATCCTTACACACTGCATAAGTGTTTATCGATTCCATGTTGGAGAACTTTTCGGCTTTGTGCTCTATTTCCACACATTTTAATGCTTATAACAATATGGTAGCAATAGTTAGTTGTTTATCTTCGTTGAATTCTTCAACATCATAAAGTCTTTTAATGTATATATTCCCATCTATATGTACAACATCTAGACAGATTGTATTTCAATCAATCATAATTGGTTCAATGCTACAAATGTGCAGTGTGTTTGGGATCATTTAAAGGATCAGTTAGAAGCTGTTGAAGATTCAACTAAAGATGTTTGCTCAATTCCTGGATGGCATGAAGAATGTCAGGTAATTGATCTTTATTATAATTTCCAAAAAACGATGTTTACTATTGTTACTTAACAGTGCATATAACCTTGTACACACATGTCATCTTATCCAAATGGAAGTGATTTTCAAACATTGAATTTACTCAAGAGGGTTATAAAAGAATGAAGTTTCTTTTCATGAAAAGCTTAAGTCATAAATGATTAAAACGTATGAGATACTATCGTACTGGATTATTAGATTCCAGTAAAAGTGTCTGATGATTTTACTGTTGAAGAGTCCCAAGTTAGGACGAAACAGCTGTCCAGTACTCCCGGTTGGTTTCCTAATGGTTCTCTAACCAATGTCAGCTCATGATGAAATCCTTCAACCAATCAAACAAAATCCCTACAAACCAATGCTTGAATATTCTTATTCTTATTGGACAAACGTAATCTACACACACACGTATACAAATATAATTTTATAAATAGTTGCGATTGTACAGCTAAGTGAATGAATTCGCCGCTGAAAAAGAGACTCCATCGCTGAACTACTACGTGTTTTGTTTTCACATTAATATATCTGAATGGGGATTATTCATGAATTTTTAAAATAAACTAACTATTTCTATTTCTACTTTTTTCTAATTATCACTTTTAGACTTGTTTACGTGCACTAGCTGGAATAAATTTCAAAGAATTTTTCACCTTATTAAAGTATATTTTGATTACTCGTTGGCCAAGAAATCATCCTGATGATGTGAATAAATTTATCAAGAAATGTAAATCAACACAGTATACCTCCTTGGATGATAATATACTCGACAGTGTGATGGATTGTGAATTGTCTGCTTTAATTGAAACAGATTCAAGCATATTTTATACTGTATTGAAAAATCCTGACTATTGGAGAGAATATTATGCTGCGGAGACTGTGTCTAAGACTGATGACGACACAGTAAACTGGATACGTATGCATGATTTTTGTGTTGTCATACAAATTATTAAACAGTTTGTACAACATCGTATTGTAAAAGCTCTGAAACTTTGTCATAGTGGTGTGCTGCAATCATTTTGGGATAATTTTTAAGTCTATTTTTAATACTATTTATTTTGTAAAACGTTCAATTGTATATTCAGTGTGTACTGCAGCTTTTCTCTTGACAACTGGCAAGGACGAGCGAAATAAAATGACATCATAAACATTCTGCCTTCTGTTTTCTCAGGTGTTGGTTTTGTAGGGATTTTGTTTAATTGGTTGTGGAGGATTTCATCATGAGCTGACATCGGTTAGAGAACCATTGGGAAACCACCCAGGAGTACTGGGCAACTGTTTCATCCCAGCTTGGGACTCTTCAACAGTACGCACCCAGCAGGGTTCGAACCTAGGAACTTCCGATTACAACGCGAGCTCGTATACCGTTAGGCCACTGGGACCCGATTCAATGGCCCATGAATTCTACCTTCTGCCAATTTATGACATAACGCGTCCAATTCACAATGTCTTCTTCGATGAATTACCGACTCACTTTCAACCTGTTGTATTCTGCTGGTCAGGGCTTCCCACTAGAACCCCAGGTTAACTGCGTGAATAGTGCCAGCCAAGAGGGAGCATCAGATTTATTTTTTGTTCTTGCATTGTTCATGTTTGTAAAGGGAGAAAATTATATGAAGCGGTTTTTTGAGTTCTTTCTCCAGATTACGTAATATTACACTGGGGAATTTTTGATGTGGTTGTCGCAACGACTTGGAATATGTGGATGACATTGTCCTCCTATAGGAAGATGGTGATAAAATGCAAAGTATTCTGAATACCTTGAACAGAGATCTCTAAATATTTGGCAATTGATTCTTAGGACTGAACTATGCCGACTCCCATTTGAAGGATAGGGAGTGAAGTGTTAGAGCGTGTCGACTACTTCATTTATTTGGGAGGTTGCATCAACCCTAATGGGACTGATTGCTGACGAAATCTCAACATGGATACGAAATGCTCGTGTGACGTTTGGCATTTGTTAACTTAAATCATGTTTGAAATCGACGTCATATCCTGGTATCGATGAAAAGACGTGTGTACTGTTCAGCAGTTCTCTTTGTTCTTCTCTATGATTGGGGAGTGGAAGGTTTGAAAAAAGATTATCTGTCTCTGACCAGAGATGTCTGTGTTCCATTTCCCGTGTTAAATGGGGTGAGTAATATTGGGGTTAGGTAAGGAGGGAATGACAGTCGATGAGGTTATGAAGGTGAATCAATTGAGATGACTAGGATATATGTTACGCATACTGGGCCACCGTCTTCCTCGACGAGCAATGTTGGCTGACAGAGTTAGGTTGGAAAATAATTAGGTGTAGTCAAGACACGACATCAGTCCATGAAGTTGTTGACAGTCGGTCTGGGCTATGTAGGAGGATGTAGTCTGACTGGTTGGAGTCCTTCAGACGCAATGAATCGATGGTGTAGACTGTTGATAACATGGCTGAAAATCGTTACCAGTAATACAGGTGCATCCAATTTTAGTAATCTCCCAGGTCCATGAAATGCCCCTGTTTTCCTCATGTTACTATTCTTTCTCCCATATATTCCTGCTCATTATATTTCCTCGGAATTTCTGTTTTTTGTTTTACATTTTGTGGTATAGGGAGTGTGGCAACTTGGACTTCTATGCAAAGTCCTAGGTTGAAACTCAGCCAGTCTCTAAGATAGTTGGTTTATTCACGATGCTTTTATTGACTTTTTAGACATCAGTGCAGACTTCTATATGAAGTGAATTGATGATTTGCATTCTGTCTATGAATGATGTCTGTCTTGATAACCTTTGCAGTGGTCGGTTGTTAATTCGTGTCAGTATCCATCGTTTTATTGACTTGGAATTTGGTTTTTTTGTCATGTGACACATTCTTTATTACTTGGTAGGTCTGATCTGTTGACAGGTGATCGACCCGTCTGAATAACTGGCATTTCTAATGTTTCCACTGTTTAAAATTCTTACATCTTCCCAGTCAAATTTGTGTCCATAGTTGTTGGCATGAAAGAACACATGTTGCATCTCGTGAGAGCTAGTTAGTGATTTTGGACTCGGAGTCGATGGGAACACCCGCTTTGACCAGTATAATGCTTTCTACAATCCATGCAATTCACTTAGTAGGTGGTATTGGTCTTGCAACAAGACCAAGACTTACAAGCGAAAACCAACAAACTGGTCGAAGAAGCAGCAAAGATAGGACTCCAGGTGAACATAGACAAGACGGAGGTTATGAAAATAACCAACCAACTACAGCAGCAATATCCAGCGCCAATCACCATTAACGGGAGGGGTTTGAAAGAGGTCATTTCATTCACTTACCTAGGGAGCATTGTCTCAACTACAGGAGGAACGGACGAGGATGTCAAATCGAGAATCGGGAAGGCGAGAAACACATTCAACAACCTAAAACCAATCTGGAAATCTTCGTCACTCAGCCTGCATCAACAACAAAATTCGGATTTTCAATACAAACGTCAAGTCAGTTTTGCTATACGGATCAGAAACTTGGCGGGCCACAAAGAATATTTCCAACAGCCTGTTGCAGACCTTTATCAACAACTGTCTTCGTTCTATACTGAAGATCAGATGGCCGGAAAGAACAAGAACCAACAAGAAACTATAGGAACAAACAAAACAAGAACCAATCGATCAAAACATATGCAGGAGAAAGTGGAGATGGATTGGACACTCGCTGAGGAGGCCGCTGAGTGACATCGCGCGTCAGGCCATAGCTCGAGTGGAACCCAAAAGGGAAGTGGTGAGTGGGACGTCCAAGGGTGACATGGAGGAGATCGTGTGAAGAGGATTTGAAACAATATGGAGTAACATGGATGCAAGTGAAAAGTACAGCAGAAGACAGAAGCAAGTGGAGGCGTGCTGTTGAAGCCCTATGTTCCTTTAGGAACCCAAGGAAACAGTAAAAAAATAAATTGGTCTTGTCTTTTCTTTTTACTGAGGTGTAGGTCTACATAATGTTGAATGAAGTGATTGTGTTGCTCTGTGTAAGATATTCATTCCAAATGATTTTAGTATTCTAGCAGTTGTTTCAGAAATATTATATATATATATCTTTATGTTCGGACAAATTTTTTGTGGTTTCTGAGGATGGTAGTTTGGTTCGAGTGTAGATGTTAAAGCCGTACAGCTCACAGAACACAGTTATATGAAAGTCATCCATCTGAGTTACAGATCTTGTACATTCATTCGTTGGTCGTGAAATACTCAATAGTTACTTTGTTCACACTCGCACAAAAAGTTTGAACTGAGAAACAGTTTGAATTCACTTAACGTTTTATGTACTGCATATATTAGCTGTAGGCTCAAGAATTCCTTTACACATTTAAATTATAATACTGTATCAAAAAGAATATACAGACGTTATTATTCTCAATGATTATTCTCTTCCAAAGTTTCTAATTTAAGTAGACCAAACTTCATTCTGGTCACTAGGTTTCGTGCAGACTGAATCCTACGACAGACAAGTTTGCAATGTGGTCGCCACTGCGGTGCGCTTTGAATTTATGTTAGATGGCTGAAGGTGATTGGCAGGAAGCCTAGGACTCAGGTTTCGTACTTGTTGGCACTTGTCATTAAAGCATATCTACAGTCTTGGGGTAACTCATTTCTCTCTCAGATTCGAACCTCTGTCACCCACTGCTACAGTCAGAGACGTTACATTAATATATAACTCGAAAGTTGAAGCAATTCAATTCACTTATGAATTGGAAAATCAGGAAAGGGAACTGCCAATGTTAGATTGCAGTGTAAAAAGGAAAGAAGATGGGAAGTTAAACACTAGTGTTTACAGGAAACCCACACACTCCAACAGATATTTGGACTTCCGATCATCCCATCCTATGTCAGTAAAAATAGGATTGGTGAAATGTTTAAATGACAGAGCACAAAAATTAAGTAGTACCAAAGAAAATCTAAAACAGGAACTGATACACATAAAAGAAACCTTGAAACTTAATAATTACCCGGATAAATTAGTCAAGAAATATGCAGGGAAATGTAAAAATAAAATAAATAATGATAGTAGTGATAGTGATAACAACAACAATAATGATTATAATAATATTAATGACCACACCAACAATAAGGAATCTAAATCATCAGTAGTAATTCCATACAAGGAAGGAACCTCGGAAACCACCTTACGCAGAATTCTTAACAAGGCAGGTAGGAATAAAAGTGGCTGGCATTCAAACCACCCACAAACTCAATTAGAAACAAGCTTTATCGGTTAAAGGATCAGTCCTGTGGAGCCTTTAAAACAAAACAATTTAGTTTATCTTATACCCTACCCTACCTGTAATGATTGTCAGGTCAATTACATAGGTCAAAGTAGTAGAACAGGGTCAGTCAGACCAGCCGAGCATATAAACCAGCGAAATCTAGATTGGTTGACCCGAATAAGATAAGAAATCTAGAGAGTATTTCAGCTATGCCAATCACCACATGCAATTACTTACAACCATACAATAAGATGGGATAGGATGACAGTTTTAATATCTAATGTCACAGGGTGAAGGGAGAGATTGATAACAGAAGCTTTGTTTATCGAATCAACTGAAGAGAATAAGTGTAATAGGAATGATTCAACACCTGTCCCGGCCGGCTATCTGGAAAATTCTACTACCCCCATGATAAACAGACGTTACCATTGAGCTATTTGAACTTTCTACCGATTGCCTCCAACCGCCTGGGTAGGTGACGGCATAGCAAAATTGACTGGTAGAATTCAGTTGACTAAAGGCATGCCATTAGTTGCTGCTTAGTGACCAGTTAAAGTATTCATTAAAGTCTTACAGGAGATCAGTCGCGAGCCTGAATACCTCGGCGGTAACGTCTTTGACTGTAGCATTGGATAATGCTGGTTTGAATCTTAGGTGGGATATGAGCAACAAGCACAAAACCTAGGTCAGATAGGATATCCTGCTGATTGTATCCAATTGTCTAACATCAAGACTAAACTGTGAACAACATGATTGTACGAACTGATGAATGAAATATATGTCAAGAAATTTTCAGTGCATATTTCTACATCATTCTAAAAGTATGTCCTTATTTTAGTGACAATTTTAGTCTTCTCGGAGGGCAAAGGTCAAGTAGGCTAAATGTGGTCTGCGTGAAACCAAATATAAGACCTAACAGTATATATCTCCTTGGAGAAACAACTTCTTTCTCTTCTCTTAAGGCACAACTTAGTCTGGTATTGACCATCCGCTGCAAGAATATGAAACTCATCCTCGGATCACTGGGATATCAGCACAAAACGGTAGCGAAAAACAGAGATATCCTGGAAGTAAAGGAGAGGTTAGAAAGGTCAATAATATCCGAGTTACCATTCAATATACGATAAACCACAATGAGATTATCTCTCCTACTACGGTATGGTAATGAAAACAGGTTTAAACTTTCCATCCTCTTGTCATAAGGAACATGTGAAATTCCTCTAACTAGTGTTTTCGCAAAACTATTACCTCCTTCATGCATGGACACATCATGGCAGCCTGTTTACAGTACTGAAGATGACTTCTAACTTAGTCTGCTCGTATTAACTTTTATAAGCATTTTAAAGCCTTTACAAGTGAGTGAAATTTTGAGTTGGACATCCAAATGGGAGGACCTCTGTATAATCGTGGTGCCAACTGAAGACTACTAACGAAAACAGGATGAAGTGAAGGTGTGCTTTGGAAGCCCAATGTTTCACTCAGAATCTGAGAGAATAATAGTAATATAATAAAATACATTCATTGCTTAAGAGTATCAAATGACCTTGAGTAAGTATAAAAGATTTAAATGCTACAATTCAATTGATCAATATTTAATCAATATTCCCTTAAACCTAATTTATTTTCCTACTACTACTACTTATCCATTGAAGAAGAAGAAGATAAAGTGATGAATTCAAAGTACGCTGGTGGAACAGTTCTATCGCACTTTTTAACTGATGAAACTGGACCAAATTGTGGTGATTTTACATTTAATGAACAAGATCTACTCTTATTATGTTGTCGTGAAATTAATTTAAATGATCAACCAGCACAAGTAATGGTTAGTCATCCAAAAATCCCCGGTTTATCATGGATTATATTTTTTTATCAAACTGCACCAAATCAATATCAACCTAGAATAGCATTTGATTTTCCAAGTTATTTAAGAGCTGATTGTGAAATCTGTATCCAATTTGCTGGTATGCATTGGGTTGTTAAGTATAAATTTGAAGGTAGTTCATGGTTAACATCGACTTTACCACCGAAAGCAATGAATGAACGTTGGGTTACATTAGGTACAGTGAAAAAAGTTGAAATACGCGTGAATATCACTAAAATATGGTTTAAATTTCCAGTATTTACAGCATGTTGTCATCCAGTGAAAACAAAACGTTTTGTTCGACAACCAGATTTTACAATGCCTGATGATTTTTCTGATGTCCAGCTATTACCACAAGATCCAAATAATCGTCGATTGTTTTCACATCGTCAAGTATTAGCAATGAATTCACCATGGTTTGCTGAACGTTTTCATAATACATCAGCATTGAATACAGGGGATATAGGCCCGATTATATCTATACCATTTGATTATGAAACTGTATTGAATTTTTTAAAATTTATATATCCTAATAGTGATATGGTGATAACAGCAGATAATGTTGAAGGATTGATGGATATGGCAAAAGAGTATCAAATGCCAAATGTGATTAGAAAATGTGAAAAATGGATGTATAAATTTATGGAAGGTGGTTCAGCTGTATTATGTTATTATTTAGCACGGAAACATGAATTACCACAAGTACAAGATGCTGCATTACTTCATTTAGCTGAATATAATTCATCACAGTTAAGAGCAAGATTAAATTTAGATATGAAAGGTAAATCACCAGATACACATGAAGTGTTATTAAGTGATCTGTGTGTTCGACTTGCAGGATCTTAGTTAATACAATAATAGAATGAACATTCATGATAGATAATAATAATAAGAAGAAGAATTGTTTAGAAAGTTCATTCAATACAGGCTGTTTTTGATCAATCTTAAGTGAACTTTCTCTGATGTATGAGATTATTGTTGATAAACCAAAAAAAAGAAATGGCAGTACACTTGATTAATATCTATGATTATGTTTTTGCTATCGAAACCATGTCTTATTGAGGTGAACAGTTGTTAATCAGTGAAGTGTGTCAATGATTCAGGCGTACACCAGCTACATACATCGTCCAGGATCGATTCTTGGCCAACATGCTGTTAAACCTCGTCTTGCTGGGAAAGAGGGAGAGTTAAGCGTCAAACTAGCAACCCCACCTTTTTATAAAACTTCAAAAGTTAAGCTTGAAGCCGTTTTATTTCACTCGGAACGTGAAAAAAATTAGTGAGGTGTGAATTGTGAACTTTATTTGTAACATGTATGTGTTAAAATTTCAAGTCTTTTAACGGACATTAATTAGAGAAGCAATAGAAATCAGAGAGTAGTGGATACTAATATTTCCTTGAAATTCTTCAGCATGACCTCACTGAAGGTCAAACCAAAATCTTTCACGATACATGGCGAATTCGTTGACGGTTCGGCTAAAGGCTCATTAATTCTAAGTCTTGTTAATTAGTGGTTTATAGTGGGTGGCGATTTCAATCAGTCCCATCGGTGAGTATTTGTCGTAATACCCAACTTAGCGGACCCTACTATAACTAATGGGCACTTCATCCCTGAGTCAGCCACTAATTTATGTGTAGTTGTATATTTAGTTCCCTCCCGAAGCGCTGAAAATGAACCCAGAGACTACAGCAGATATGCTAACGCCATTATTGCAAAACGTTTGGCAGGAAAGAAAGGTGCCTACCGGTTGGAAGAAAGGCTGGCTACTTTGTCAAACTAACAATGAAGGGCGACTTAGGCTTGTGCAAGGACTGGCGTGGAATCATGCTGTTGCCTACGCCAAGTAAAATATCAAGTCGCATCATTCTGGAGAGAATGAGAGATGCAGTGGATGCAGAACTCCACCAGCCCTGAACAAGCTGGATTGAAGAAAGACAAATCATGTGTTGATCAAATTGCAACTCGACGCATCGAACAAAGCATAGAATGCCGGCCAAACCTCTACCTTAACTTCATCGAATTTGAAGAGATTTGGAAACTACTTCAACACTACGGTGTGCACCGCCCAAGTCTTTATCAACCTCATTCAGCAGCTGTATGACAATACCACGTGTCCGGTGATCCACAACGGAAAACTCAGTGAAGCCTTTGAAATGAATACAGGAGTAAGACATGCTGGCTGCTTATTATCACCGATGATATTCCTAAATGTGGTGGACTGGATTATGTGTCAGATTGAGGGGAGCGAGAAGACGGGAATACGTTGGACTGACCGATGAGAAGACTCTAGAAGATCTGGATTTCTCAGATAACTTTTGTTTAATGTCATACAAACTTGAAGACTTAGAGGCAGGCGGAAAGCAACAAACTGGTAGAAGAGGTAGGCAGCGAAGGCAAAACTCCAGGTGAAAATAGAGAAGACGGAGGTAGGTGATGAAGATAACCAAGGACCACCAACAGCAACCATCACCATCATTGGGGGAGATTCGACAGAGGTTACTTCCTTCAATTATCTCACCAGGGAGCATTGTTTCAACCACAGGCAGTCAGAACGGATGCAGATGTCAAAGCTGAACAGCCAGAGTCGGAAAGCAAGACAAACCTTCGTTATTCTGAAATCGGCTTGGAAATCTTCTGCACTCCACCTCAGCGCAAAGAACAAGATTCAGATTTTCAACACCTATGTGAAGTCAGTCAGTCGGTTCTTCTATGCGGTTGAGAAACTTGCACTGCGTGTCACTAAAAGGATTTCCAACAGGTTGCAGACTTTTATCAACAGCTGCCATTTTCACTGGTTACTTACTGAAGATCAAACGGCTAGCTGGCTAAAAAGAATTAGCAGCAAGAAACTCTGACGATGAACAAAACAACCAAGAGTCGATTGCTCAACAAATATGTAGGAGAAAATGGAGATAGATCGGGCATACGTTGAGGAGACCGAAGAATGACATCGCGTGCAACGCAGACCATCGCTCCAGGGGAATCGGAATGTGAAGCGACGAGTGGGTCGTCGGTGCGAGGGTGACACGGAGAAGATCACGTGTTGGGGAGGAGGAGATGAGAGATTATGGGCAGTGATGGACCCAGGTGAAGAGGATTGCAGAAAATAGAAGGACGTGAAGATGTGTTGTTGTAGCCCTATGTTCCACATGGATCCCAAGGAAATAATAATTAAGAATAATGTACATTTAGTAAGTAGGCGATTAGTGACTGTTCACCATCAAAGACAGCTCAAAAAGTCAGATGTTATTGTTTATTATGCAATTTAATCTGAGACATTCGAGTTAGTAGTACGAAAATGGATAGTATGTTTAACAATTGTTTTTCAGTATTAACAAGAATTATAATGTGGAGAATTTCAGCAATCCCATGGGAAATTCACATAGGAAACAACTATATTTCCTGCTATTGCATATTGCATTTGTTTAACGAAGTTACATTGTTGCAATTTTAGGTTTTTTCATCAGTTTTAGTTGTCCAGCTTTGGAAAAAATGACTCCTGATGGAAGGAGAAAACAAGGATGAAGTAGTAGTGCTTGAAAGAGAATAATTTAGTGCATTTGAGTGTAGTATGGTGGTGAAGATATGGTGAATGCATCCCAAAAATCTGAATGGCGTTTTTGATTTTGTTTTTCATCCAGCAATACTCAATCTTTGTAGAACCATAGAATGTAGAATTTTAGATACTGCCTTAGTCAATCTGATTCTGCGTAGATGTTCCATTTGGGACATCTTCTGATACTCTTAATCGACAGCTTACCACAAAATAGTCCATCTACGTCTATGGCTCAAAATATAGTGACTGAATCCCAAGTATTTTGTTTAATTCAACTTGGAATTTCTCGTTGATTAATTGTGACGAAGTGTTAGGCCTCTGTTGATATGTCGGCTCTATGTGCGAATGCTTCAAAGATGGTCTGAATTCAGAAAACTAATCAATGCCTTCTTTAAAAACTTCATGCAATTCTTCGCATTAATAAACTTGAACAAAGCAAGAACAACAATTGTACCAGGATAAAATGGGTTCATCTTTTATTATCTCGAGGATTCTTCTCAACTGTTTACAACCTGAACGATAAAAAATATGAATTACATCAAAGACTTGAACATACTTTTCCACCATCACAAGGAGTAATTGGTAGAATGTAAAAGTAACATTAGTCCGGAATGATTTAACTAATTAAGAGTTACAAACACTGACTATTTTTAGATTGATTAGACAATTAGGCTTGGAAACAAAAACAGAGTTGCGTATATATGTGTGTGTATAGAAACATGGTTTAGCTAGAAAGAGCATAACAAAAAGTAGATTGCGTAACTAAAGAAAATGTTTTGTCTAATAGCCAATAGAAAAAAAGAAAAGAACAAAGTAGGGTGAGTCATGTTTAGATGAGAGAGTAGAGTTTTCTAAACAAGAAAAAGGGTGTCATTATAGGTTTCCAGGCCGTAGGTGTTACGAACTTCCTGAAATAATTTGAGCGCCGAGTCAGATTGATTCATTATAAATTATTTAAATTAATCCCAGCGTGTTAAGAAAATCAAAACAAGATTTTTCTGAACGTTTCGCTGTGTAAGCCACAGCTTCTTCAGCAGATTTATTCGGATTTTTATTAATCATCAAAATATATAGTCAAAAATTTTTACATACATTAAAGTCAGTTTATTTGAAGGTCATTTGTCTATGGACATTTTTACCAATAGAAAATATGTAAAGAAAAAGGGTGACTCATAAAAGTTGTATATTTTGTTATCACCACGGCAGTGCAAGATTCACCACTGTCTCTTTCTGCGTACATAGATTTGGTTTAAGTCGTTTGATAGCAATTACTTCAGCAAAGCGTAGTAGGCTAGGTTTCTTTTGCTTGTTGATTATTTTGAACGACTTCAGGTTGTCTACCATATGACCAGTGTCCAGTAGATGACGCGCAGTCGCACTGTTTAATGCTTTCGGACCTTTCAGTCTCAGGTTCTTTGGTATGTATTCAGAAATGCGAACAATAACCCTTCTCTCTGTTCTTCCAATGTATGTGCTTTGGCACGTATATGTAAACTGGTAGACACAGTTGGAGGTAACATGAGGAGGGTATTTGTCCATTTTTGATTGTCTCAAACAACTAGTTGTTTAATAAACACACACAAGCTTGGAGGCTGGATATGTTCTCTCCAGGGCAGTGTTCAGTCTGCATCTTATTCTACTAGCAGTATCATCACCTTTGAATGCAAGCTGCAGAAAGATAGGCTTTTTCTCTACTGTGTTGCTTTTCACTTTTTCAACATGACGTCTCCCATACTTGTCGATGAACATTTGTGGGTAACCGTTGTCGCGTAGGCATTTCTCCACAATGGATAGCTTTTCCTCAATCTTTTCTTTTGAACACAGCTTCCTTCCTTGTAATCGTGGAAAAGTATGTTCAAATCTTTAATGTAATTCATATTTTTTATCGTTCAGGTTGTAACCAGTTGAGAAGAATCCTCGAAATCATAAGAAAAGATGAGCTCATATTATCCTGGTACAATTGTTGATCTTGCTTTGTTCAATACCTTCTTCTTTATAACTTGTTAAACTCTAACAAGTCATATAATCGAAATTTTATCGCAGAAATATCGAAAGATGGTTTTGGTTTTATAGCATCTGTGGTACTATTCGATAGTAATAACTCATATCAAAAGTACAAAACTACTTTGACAGCGTCATCCGGCAGGTATACAGTCCAAAAGTTTCTCAAGTACAAAATGGTTTCTGTACAACAAAATTAATTAAGCATATATGACTGTGAATTACTTGAGAATCAAAGATGGAATCTCCATCTCTCTGTTTGCACGAATCAAACAGAACAAAATGAGT